AAAAATCTTGTTAACTTAGAGTTACTCTTTTCATGAGATATAAATAGGTTTCTGAATAAAATTATTTGCTCCTATGACTTATCTAATGACAAGTAAGCAGAAAATAAAGGGAGGGAAATAGTTGAAAATATGAGATGAATATTCATGACGTTTAGTTGTCATCATACTTAATATGTCATAGGAGCAAATAATTCAACACCCAATGAAAGGTTAATAATGTTAACGCGGTGGAAGATGGATGGACTTTCATAGAACGAGAATATTGACATTATGTTGTATTATGTACGTGTTTCATTTCGAGTTAAATACGGGGGTTACAAACTTTAAACAAAACTAAGAAACAGCATCAGAACAAACAAAACGAGTCTTAAAGATCCCTGAACAATCATCCATCAACACTATCCGAATCAACATATGGGGATCATGAAAACTGCAAACCCCAGATTCATATTATAGCTCAAGCTAGTCAGATAATCAGCAACAAAAATATTTCCTCTAAAAATATGAATCATTTGTTATATTTTGCTTAATCAAGTTGACAGTGAAAATATTTGCACCGGATTTCTCAATAGCGGTGTATTTGTGTTATGAAAATTGGTCCAATTAAAAACGGAGGCAGATTGTCTGCCCTTCTGTTATGGTGCTCTCCCCATGTCCTCCTATTTGTGCGGTCACGATTAAGCCACGTTAACATTTTATATTCATATTGCTTTTTGTTTATCTCTATAAAAAAAATTAATATAAAATATTAACGTGATTTAATCGTGATCATACAAAATAGAAGAACATGAAAATAGCACCATATTAGGCCAGACAATCTGCCTCTATTAAAAACAACTGTCCCGAACGCCGATTAGACGGCGCCAACAGAAACGAAAAGCCACGTGGGGAGCTTCTAGTGCTTTCGTTTATTTCCGGCGAGTGGTTGTAAGTCGTTTTGCAAAGACAAATGGTCACACAACAATCAAATCCAATCCAGGTAGTCCAGGCTGGAAAGGGCTCCTCTAAGATCCCTTCCACCAAGTCGTCTTCATTAAATAATTTAAATCTTTAAAATTTAATTTAACAACTAAAATTATTATAATTTTTAAAATAAATTCTTATTTATAATTATTAAATTAAATTTCAAAAATCTGAATTAATTAATAAAAAAGATTTCGTAAAATGAATCCAAATAAAATCCCCTTCCGTCCAGGCTTTTGAATGAGAACGTGGTGACAGCCTTTGCCAAGCTGTGCTGTGACCCCACTTGACACACTTGTGGGATCCACTTCATTTCCCTTTTCTTGGTCCTTTGCGTTATATCCTTTTCCCCATCCTTTTTTGTCCTTTTCATATCACTTTCTAAGCCTTGACTCTTGAGTCAATCGCCAACTCAACTCCAATTATCACAATGTTAATCCAAATTGTATAATCATTTGTTTGATTTTTTTTGGAAAAATCATTTGTTTGATTAATAAAGTGTGTAAAATATCGATACTGGTAAAAACATCAATATGCAACTTATAAAAATATCCATAGATATATTAATATCAATATTGGTTGACTATTGACAATGACAATAGAATGAGTATATTAACTAATTTAGATTTAGTTCAAATTAGAAAAACATTTAAAAAAAAATTCAAAAGCTCGAAATTTGCAATAAGTTGCGACAAAATTTTTGTAGTAATAAATAAATATCGTCAACATTCATTTATTTTCTTCTATTTCGCTGATATAAGGTGAAATTCACATTTCACCCCCCCTTTTCATGTGGATCCTTGTTTTTTTTAATATACTTAAATTATGACTTTTCTAAGTTTACTAAAATGTTAGATTATTTTGACTTATAATTTTATATACGTTTATTAACACGTAGGAAACATTAATCACACCCTGTTCTTTCATTCTTTTTTCGGATTCACAACTTCTCTATTCAAAGAAATGTCATTTTTCCTGATTCATACAAATTACAATCTAATATACATACAAAAATAACTCGTTAAAATCACAAACGCTTTTAGGACGCAAAATAGTCCACCAATTGTAGTAGAAAATATAATTAAATGAAAAAATGACAAAAAAATACAATCTCACCTGGCGACAATAAAATACAGAGAATATCCACTCCACAATAAAAACATAAAGAAAAAATGGAAACAAAAAGGTGAAACGCTAAAAATGGTAACATGCAAGCAAATATAATCCAAACAACACAACCTCCATTCTTCAGTCCCCTCACTCCAAAAAGCTGTCTCCTCCTCCTCCTCCTCCACTCCCACTTCTCAAAAACTCAATGGATCCATGCCCCTTCGTACGTCTCAATGTCGACTCTCTGGCTCTCAAGCTCCCCCACGCCACCAGACCCGCCGGTCCCGGAGTCCACTCCTCCACCACCCCCTGCTTCTGCCAACTGAAGATCAAAAACTTCCCTCCTCAAACCGCCCTTCTCAACCTCTCCACTTCTGCTGGCGACTCCCCGCCCGACTCCTCCACCTCGGCTCCCGGCTTCCACGTGGACCCCACCCTGCTCCGGAGGCTTGCTGGGAAGCCCGTCGCGCTTCGGGTCTCAGTTTATACTGGTCGGATGGGCCAGACATGCGGCGTCACCAGTGGGAAGCTGCTAGGCCGAGTCCAACTCAGCATTGACCTGGACTCGGCTAGGGCTCACTCGATCGTGATCCACAGCGGGTGGGTGAAGTTAGGGAAGGACCGCGACAAGCCCTCCGCCAGGCTGCACTTGACGGTCCGAGCTGAACGAGACCCCCGGTTCGTTTTCCAGTTCGGAGGTGAGCCGGAGTGCAGCCCCGTGGTTTTCCAGATTCAGGGGCGGGACATACGACAGCCCGTTTTTAGCTGCAAGTTCAGTGCGGACCGTAACTCGAGAAACCGGTGAGTTTTCCTTTACATGCGGTCCTGGCGCACTATAGTCCAGAAGATTTGACTTTAGCTAACGTGTGCCTGAAGTGGTGGTTAACTTGAATGTGTAAATTATTAACTTTTTTCTTTTTCTAGTGTTTGTTTTTTTGTATGAGTTACATTTTGGATAATGTTATTCATAATTTTTTTTTATTTCTTATACATCTTTATTAATTTTTTTTATTAATGATCATCTTCGATTCATTTGATATAATTAAAATTTAAAAGAAATGTAAGAAAAATTTTAAAAATATATATAAAAAATAAAAATGGTTAACACTACTCTACTTTTGGAATATTACGTTTCTTGTTCATGCTAGGCTTGCTAGTTAGTGCCTCCCCATGTGCTTTCTTTGATGAATTGCTTCATGAATTCCGGGACTGGCTAAGATACATTAAAGTACTCAATACATCATCCATTGACGGTCAGATGTGGTCATTAAATGTCGTTACAACATATATGACCGTTAGTCATTGGTTGTTTGGTTTCAAAAAGATCAATCTTGAAAGTAATTTTCTAGGAATGATAAGAAGTTTGAACAATTAGTGGTAGTTGCATTGCATCTCTAGTCAAACAGAAAATGTCAACTACTTCCCTTCCATGTGCAAATATATTTGGTCTCAGATTCTACATGTTCTGTTTAAGATTATATTCCGGTTTGACAACTCCATTCTGTTTAAGATTAATTAAATTAATACGATCGTAATGATTAATTAGTTATTGATTTTGTGTGTAATCTGCAGATCTCTCCAATCAGATTTTACCACCATTAACAGAGGATGGATGAGAACATTATCTGCTGATAGAGAAAGGCCAGGGAGGGAAAGAAAGGGGTGGATGATAACAATTCATGACCTATCCGGCTCGCCCGTGGCGGCCGCTTCCATGATCACTCCCTTTGTACCCTCCCCCGGTACTGACCGTGTGTCCAGGTCAAACCCTGGAGCATGGCTCATCCTCCGACCCCATGGCTTCTCAATTAGCAGCTGGAAGCCATGGGGCCGTCTTGAGGCATGGCGCGAGAGGGGCCTATTGATGGCTTGGGGTACAAGTTTGAGCTTGTAACTGACAACGGGCCTAGCAGCAGCATTACCATTGCCGAAGGCACAATGAGCGTCAAAAAGGGCGGAGAGTTTTGCATCGACAGTAGGTTAAATAGAGATTCGGGTTCGAATTCGAGGTCACCGGTGAAAGGTTTCGTGACGGGTTCAACCGTGGAAGGTGAAGGGAAAGTTAGCAAGCCTGTGGTACAAGTAGGAGTGCAGCATGTTACTTGCATGGCTGATGCTGCTCTTTTCGTCGCACTTTCTGCCGCCATTGATCTCAGCATGGACGCTTGCCGGCTGTTTTCGCATAAACTCCGAAAGGAGCTCTGCCATGATGAACAGAATTGCTTCTCCTAATTTAAACTGGTTTAAATCCTTAATTTTCTTACTAATTTATCCTCTCTGCCGCTGTGACAACCAATTAGTTTTTGCTCAGTTTGTGAGGAATTGTTGGTTTGAGCACTCGATATGTATAATTTTTTTATCTTTAATTTCCTTTTTTCTCCACATTCTTTGAGTTTGATTTTTCTGATTTGATTGTGCCCCTGGTTTTGGCGTTGGTTACACCTTGTAATATTACATCATTTATTCTATCATCTATATACAACAAATTTACAAATTGCTACCTGTGAGTCTTCCCAGCTTCTAAAATAGTGGATTGTAATGGGCGAATCCTTGGGCTGATCCCTTTTTTAAGGTTATTATTTGATTATCCAATAAGATGGCCACGCAAAAAAACGTATGATCTAAATAAAAAGAAAAATTATTTCGCGTGTCTGTGTTGCTCTCAAGGCATGCAATCCCTATTTCATTTAAAGGAGATTTCATATGTGACTCACATGAATACGAGCAACGTATGCTAAGTTATGATCTATTACAAAGTGTTAATGATTTGATGTACAGGTAATATTGTTTGCAATTATCTTAAAATTGATGGAGTTTTTGTTAAATCCGTTAAACCCGTTGATGTGATTTATTTTCTAAAATTGATTTTTGTTTTTTTATTTTTTATTGTATTAATTGTTCTGATAAGATTTTCCAAAATTGATGTAGTAGCAAATTTGATTTAGTTTCATTTTCGAAATTATAATTATTTACCCAAAAAATAAAAAACCAAACGAAAATGCGGTAAAATTTGTACTTTTTGCGGCGAAATTTGTACGTTAATAAACAGAACAAAATCCAAAATCCCAAAAAAATAATAAAAAAAAAAAGCTCTCTCGGAGTCTCTCCTCCTCCCTCCATCTCGATTTTCAATCCGAAACCAGAAAGCTCTTTCCGATTCCCGTAAAGATCTTTCTGGGTTCATCAATGGCATCAGTCCACCACCTCCTCCTCCTCCTCATCACCCTCCTCGCAATTCCCGCCTCCTTATCATCCCAATCCGTCATCCAAATGCCGAGGAAACGACACCGCTTTGCCGCCTCCGACGACAGCCTCTACTGCGACAGCTGGAGATTCTCTATCGAGACCAACGACGCCGGAACCTGGTCCAACATTCCGTCCAGGTGCGTCCGATTCGTCCAGGACTACATGACTGGCGACCGGTACCCGTCCGACTTGGCGTCCGTCGCGGATTACTCGCTGAGCTTCGCGAAGGGGGTGACAATGGGCGGCGATGGGAAGGACGCGTGGGTGTTCGACATCGACGAGACTTTGCTTTCCAATTTGGCCTACTATCAGGCCCATGGATTCGGGTAAGCTCCAATCGATCACAGCCGTCCGTTACGATTGCTTTGATTTTTTACTGCAAATTAAATTGTTGTGGGGTTGGAAACGAGGAAACGTATGCCTTGTCGGGGTTGCTGTGGCATATTCATGTGATTGATGCGTCGGTGGCAGGTGTGATTAACCAATGACAGGCTGCCACGTAAGGTGGATATGAGAGTGAGCTGTGTGATGCATGCTATGGTGCAGGACCCCCGTAGTATAAATGTATGGGATAATTGGAATTGATGGTGAAAGTTGAATTTGTCAGTGATGGGATCAGACATGATAAAAGAGAAATTGAAAGAAAGTAAATGGAGAAAATGGAAAATTCAATCTTTATTTATAGTCATCTTTATATTAGAAAATGAGTTTAAATATATTCAATGATAGTAGCGTTTGAGGTGTAGACGAGCTTGATGGATGGTAATAACAAAACAATAGATGATCCAACTAGTCATAACCGAAGCTCAATAGCATAAAATCGTATTAGTTAGCTTTATAGTCATGCGTTAAGCATATGAACAAACATGCACAAGAGAGCTTAATATGTCACACAACTACAGGTATATCTTCTTTTGTCATGTAGTAAGTGCTTTGCACACGAGAACTTGAATCATACTTAGGCATGTTAAAACACATGCATAAGAGAGACTTTATTATGAGAGAATATGTCACACGATTGCAGATATAGTCTCTTGTGTCACGTGATAAGTGCAGCTATGTACACAAGAGTTTGAGTCATGCCTAAACATGTGAACAAATATGCACAAGAGTCTTTATTAGGAAAGGATATGTCATACGACTGCGAATATATTCTCTCGTGTTACATGATAAGTGCTTTGTACACGAGAGTTTGAGTCATGTCTAAGCATGTGAACAAACACGCATAAGAGAGCCTTTATTAGGACAAAATATGCCTTATAATTGCAGAGATATCCTCTTACGTTTACAATGTTAAGATCACGTGATAAGTGAGGCTAACGCAAGAAAATACCCGACTACAGAATGGGATTTTCTACTTTTTCGAGGACACATTTCTGTAGGCCTTGTTTTTGGTTGGTTTATTTGTTGGTCATTTGGTCTGTTAACTTGTGACCAATGTCATGTAAAAGACTGATGCTACATATACCCTTTTAGTTCGTGCCAGAGTGAACACTCACCTGTCTCACCTGTAGTTGTAGTCTTGTAGATGTGAGAAGGAGAAATGTTCCCTGGACTTGAATAACTTACGCTAGTAAATGCAGTTTGCTGTGGAAAAAAGAAGGGCTTTGCCGCTTTTCACATTTAAGCGTTTGGTAACATTATTTAGAGAAAAACACTTCAAATCCAATACTAGGAAAAGAAAACCCAACTAACTTGGTAACGAAGGAAAGGCAAGGAGTTTCACAACTAAGATTCAATTAGAGTGACAAGTGGATAGATGAGTCGTATAAAACTTGTTGTCGGGGTGTTTTTTTCTAATTTACTTACGGGGAAAGGAACTTATAGCTGAAGTATGGGTGGATTGCACAATCAGCATATTGTTCATTGCCTTCCAGTCCTCAAGCATCCATTTTATCACTGAGAGTTAACACTGTGAAAACGTATTGCTCGATTTCCCGACAGATACTCTTACCTGGTTTTGGTCTGGTTTTTATGTTCTTCAACCAGAGTTAGTTATCCAGGATTACTAGATTACATCAATGTTTTAGCTGTCTTAATTGATTAAGTGTTTCATAAGATGAAATTTGACAAGGTCTACATTCTTTTGGACACAGATCGGAGACGTTCAATGAAGCATTTTTCGATGAGTGGGTGGATTTGGCTGAGGCACCTGCTCTCCCAGCAAGTTTAAATCTATACAAAGAGCTTGAGCAGTTGGGTTTCAAGATGTTTCTGTTAACTGGGCGGAGCGAACATCAGAGAAACGCCACCGCGAGAAACCTTCTATATGCAGGTTACAACAATTGGGAGAGGCTGCTACTGAGGTACAATGGGGGATAAGTTTCCCTCTTTCCTTTTACTTTTTCCTTCTATTTCTTCGTAACTCTGCAGTAAGGATTGCTGATATGTTTGGTTAACGATACAGAGGACCTTCTGATCAAGGAACACCGGCCACGGTCTACAAATCGCAGAAGAGATCGGACTTGATAAATGAAGGTTATCGAATTCACGGGAGCTCGGGAGATCAATGGAGTGATCTGATAGGTTTTGCTATTGCTCAACGATCGTTTAAACTTCCAAACCCAATGTATTACATTGCCTAGCAAATACCAGCATTCAGATTACATTGTTGTATTGGTTGCCATCGTTCGTTTGCTAATCCGGCATGATTTAGAAGCTTTGTATTCATCTTTTCAAGTGGTATGAAAGTCAGCATGATTTAGAGTTGCATATGCCTTGTTTGATTTGATTGGAAGAGGAGTGTACAGGAACTGTCGCACACGCGTGTGGGGATGATTAGACCAAGTGTGTACACGATTGATCCTAGAATTGCTTGTGCATAACTTAAAGGCCTGTTTATGATTGCTTTTGTAGGAAACAAAAGTGCTTCTTGAAAAAAAAAACACTTGAAAGTTTTCGTTTCTTCATAATTCACTTTTATGATTTATTAAATAAACGTAATTAAAATCGTTTTTTTTACTGTCATAAAACACCTTAAGCCTTTGTTCATATTATCAACATGTCAACATTTTATTGAAAATTCAAATACTTCTTGAAAAAACACTTGAAAGAGTTTCATAAAGAAGTTTATTATTCGGAAAGCGCTTCTACAATCTATAAACACTTTTAAATTTTTCTATTTAAACGTAAGTAAAAGCGTTTTGACGGTTCAGAAAACACTTTGTTTAGGATGGGGATTGTCTGCCCTCCACTTACAATCCCCTTCTCATCCCCTCCTATTTAAGCGGTCACAGTTAAGTCATGTCAACATTTTATGCTTTTTGTCTTATTATCTCTAGGAAAAAATTAATATAAAATGTTGACGTGGCTTAATCGTGACCGCTTAAATAGGAGGGGATGAGAAGGGGATGGTAAGTGGAGGGCAGACAATCTCCATCCCTTTGTTTAAGCGTAAAAAATTTGGACAAGATTGTCTGCCCTCCCACTTCCGGTGCCCTCTAGTGTCATCCTGTTTTGTGTGATCACGGTTAAGTCACGTCAACATTTTATATTGTTTTTTTTATGAAGATAATAAGACAAAAATAAATAGTAATATAAAATGTTGACGTGACTTAATCGTGACCACACAAACAGAAAAGCACCTAGAAGTAGGAAGACAGACAATCATTGTCCCAAAAATTCTTCTCAAACTATTCCCTAGTTGAGTTGGAGTACCTTTTACTTTTAGGTAGAAAAGAATCATGCAAAGTTTCCAAACATCCTTGTTCAACAACCATCGATAAAGACGAATGCTTTTAATTATATGAGCACTGAAATTTTTTTTTTTTTGGAAACTTTATATGAGCAGTTAATTGGGAATGCCAAAACAAGATTTCTAAAGTTGAGAACAAGTCACGTGACACAAGCCGATAAACACATACATCCCAATGTGCCACAAAATACCACATAATTTCCATAAGAATGTCACATGACAAACAGAATCAAACCACTTTTTATATAATCCGCTGATTCTGCTCACGATTCTTCCATTACTGAATTCGATAATTCTTGAGTGTCGAAAATGCGGTCTAGTACAGAAAGTGTCATAAATAATACAATTGGATGATTTTTTTAATTAAAACTTTCAGACATTTATATTATTACACTTAATACACCGAACCGTATTGCTAGAGCATTGAAAAATTTGTAACTGAAATACAAAGCGAATCATATAATCTGCTTTTTTTAAAAGCATTTCTGGATATTATAATTCCAGATGAATAGAGTTAATAATAAAGAAATTAAAATGAGTAGGATTCAGGAAGCTTGAGTCATAATTTGCTATTAATAGTAGATTAAGTTGTACAAAAAGACTGAAATCTCCTGTTTTTATGGAGAAGAAGTAGAAGACGATGTGTAGAGGGACCCACATACCAGAGGCTTGGACCCCGGAATTCTCAGGCAGTTCAACCCGCCGCCCGGAATCAGAGAGCATTCCGGCTCCGGCCGCTGCATGTTCCACCCGGGAATGCAATTCAGGGAGAAATCAAACCCCACATTCCGGTAGAATAACTTCGTACATTCCTGACTGAACCCGGAAAAGAAATTGTAAGCAACGGTCAGATTCACCAGACTTTTCAACGAACACACCAAGTCCGGCAGTACCCCAGACAGATTGTTGTGCGCCAAGTTCAGAACTTCGATGTCTTCCAGGCAAGAAATCGTGTCGGGGAGATGACCCATCAGGGAATTATGGCTCGCGTCGAAAACCTTAATGTCTGTAAAGATCCCGACTCCTTCGGGAATGCAGCCGGTTAACCGGTTGTTAAGGAACAAAACCTCTTTCAGCATCGTCCCCATGAAGCCGAAGCTGGCCGGGAGGTTGCCGCTGAACTGGTTGTTTGCGAAATTGATGACGGAGGCCTGGGAGTTTCCTAAACTTTCGGGGATTGGGCCTTCGAAATTGTTGTTGTTGAGGAAGATGGCGTCGAGTTTCCGGTTGAAGAGCTCGTCCGGGATCGTGCCGGAGAAGCTGTTGAATCGGAGGTCGAGGTAGATGAGGTTCGGAATTTGTAATGTGACCGTTGGGAAGCTGCCGGAGAAGAAGTTGTTGCTGAGGTCGAGTTCTTGGAGGGCGGTGAGGTCTCGGAGACTTTCAGGGATTTGGCCGGAGAATCTATTGCTGTTGAGGTGGAGGAGAAAGAGTTGAGAGAGAAAAGAGAGCTCTTGGACAAGATTGCCCTTGAGATTGGCGTGGTTGAGATCTATGCCTGCAACTTCTTGAGAATCCGGCGAGCAGAAAACCCCTGTGTAAGAACACACATTCGGGCCAACCCATGAGTCTAAAACCTTTGATGGGTCGTCGGAGATGGCGGATTTCCACGCCTGGAGGGCGGTGAAAGCTCTGTCGAGGTCTGAAGGTGAAGGCCCAGATGAGAATGGGGAATTCCCATTTCCATTGATTCCTCCGCCAATCCAAACGCCGCCGCCGCCGCCAACAGGGCCGACATTGACACCAACTCCACCGCCCACATTAAACCCAGCTTCTGTGGGGAGAGCAATCAGTAGGAGAAGTGCTAGAAACCACCATTTCTCCATTTTTCAGTGGAGAAAACACTATAGTGCTTATTTGCTGGGTTTACTTGTAAATTTTGTTCAAATCTGGTTGCAGCAGCATTGAAGAGAGTAGAAACTGGTGGGGTTTATTTGGTCTTGAATTGGAGTAAAGTACGTCGTCACTTCAGATATCACTGTAGTAGACTTCTTAATTAGCTGTTTGTCGTGTTCGTGTCATATTTATTATCTTAATGGATCATTTCATGTCAAACCCGTTATGTTAACGAGATCTTAACATGTGAACCGAGAAGGACCCAATTCGTTAACGGATCGTGTCATGTCAGGTTAACGGATATGCAAGAATCAGTCATGTCTAATGTCTAGATTTGACAAACGATATCTTAATGGATTATTAACGAGTGACACAATAACGACCCAATTCTTTAACGAGTTCTTAAGGAATGACCCAATAATGATCAGAATAGTTAATGGGTTGATCCTGACCTATCATTTTTGTGTCAGATTATCGAATCGCGCAAAAAATTATCAGACCTAAACTATAGTGATATCTTTATCACATGAAAGTGTTCATGATCGAGATATTATTGCATTAATATCTCCGTAACATAATAGTGCTCATGATCAAAGATACTACCACAATGACAATTTCGTCAAATAAAAGGATTCATGACATTTTTGTTTTATTTATCTTTTATTAGTGTTTTACCCTTCTTTTTTTTTTTATATATATAAATGTTTTGGCTTTCATGGTGATAGAACAGGCTGGTAAGTTGCTTTAGGTGATAGAGCTGTTTTGGTCAGTAGGTTGGTCAATTAGTAAACTCACCAAAATAAATGAGCAGGGCTAAATTAGTCTGTATGAGCTTGCATAATGATATGATTTAGGTCCTAATCATTGGACAGAGAATATCTCTACATCTCACTGTTTGGAGTATAAGGATCAGATAATTTGAACAGTTTAAATGAGACGGTCCTCATTAATTTATTTTATTGATCCGCCTCTCACAAAATGAGAACTTCAATTTCTCTTTCACACAATAAAGGTCCTGAATTTTCTGATATTTAAGCTCCTAACAGTAAAGTTCGGAAAGATTCCAAATTCCTAATCATTGAGAGAAAGCAAAATGAAAAGGACATATACACTTTAGTCTAATATCACCTATTGTAGGCTTGTATTATAACCAGACTCATTATTCAAATAATAGCATTTACTTTTTCTATGTGCCTAAAGAACGAGACTAAAATATAGAAATCTCTTACTTTGGTAAATTGTCATACAAAATAATGTGGCCAAACAAATGTACCCAAATTTTTCTCTCAAAACACGATGTTACCCACTATAGACTTCATTTGTTTTCATAGGAAATTAATAGAACTTATGATGTGTTTCCAATACATACAAGCACCACAACTATTATCCAAGAATTAAACGGAGTATATCCCAAATATGAGATGGTTTAAATCATTTGCTTGTTTTGTGAAACGAATGGAGCTTCTCTTGACATTAATATGCACCGGTGTATATACATTGAATCCTTAATGCATCTAGCCTTCCGTTAAGTCTGTGTAACTTCTTACACACTATTGTAGGCATAACATGGAACATGCAGTGTGAAACCAAAAGGGATTCATAACATCGTTTACCAATCATAGAAAGAAACAGTTCATGTGCCTCACTCTAAGCGGAAGCCCTGCAAACTATATATATATATATATATCTTGGCCACAAGGATTTTACAACTTTTCTTTATTCATTTGTGATACCCAACAATATAAAAAAGGGTAATTTAAAAAATGGAGGAATCAAGACTGCATGTGAATATTAGGTAAGAAATCAAGATTATTTTGAGGAGGAGGACGTCAATGGGCACTCTGTTTTCACGTCAAATTTCGAGAATGTTGAGAATCAGATGTTTAGGGCTTGTAGCTCACGTGTGGTTACAAGCATCTAGTTATGCACTCAGAAGTTTTGGGTTCGAATCTTCCTTCAAAACATCACTTGTACAACAAAAATTAAAAAAAATTAAAAAAAAAATCAAAAGATAGAACTTGGGTCTTTTGGGTTGGATCTTTTAGAGGTGTTTTGAGATTAAAACCAACAATTACGACTCTGAAATGATAGATTGAATCTTAGGGCCCAAAACTGTGAGAGTTTAGACTTTTTGTTACCCCAATATTTGGACTGGGCTTATGTAACATGGGTAGGCCTAATA